GGAAGTATCTTTTGAAAATCCATAGACAACCAACACTGCTAAGTAACAAAGATTCCTATGGGCTATGTCATTATTGCGAAAGAGGGGGTGGAAGCAGATGAAAAATAACACGAAGACAATAATTCCATTAACAAAACAAATTTTGGCGCTTACGCATAGGTTCTCATATTAGGCTGCACGCGTTTGTGGTCTTCAATCATCATGCCAAGTAACTCAGCAACATCCTGTACCCTATAAGTCACCCAGCAGAAAACTTGTTATACCAAAACAACCAATTGGAATAGAAATTGTTGGCAACATTACCATATCCAAACAGTAAATTCAACCACAAGTCAATAGAAAACAAATGGACTAGAGCAACAGATGGTGGTAGCGTTCACATTAAACAAGTAATGGTTCAAAAGTAGGCACAGTAAGCAGGCATCCATGACCCAAATAGTGGTTCTGATAAGAACGCCCACTTTGATAGAGCCTAAGAAGTAAGAATCCATTGCCTTCCCCCAATAGCCATATCTGTAATCTGTAACCTACCCATTTACTCCTTGCAGAAGCTGTATACTCTTGTAATAGGAAATGTCACAGGAATCTGCTTCATATCAACATGTGAAGTCCATTTGCAAAAGAATGTATAGGTTAATAGCACACATGTGTGGACATGACACATTTTTCGTAATTGGTACATATTCTGGAAACAAGAGAGCAAAGCAATGAACTGCATACACTCAGACCATTACGGAGTCCCGACAAAAAGCCCACACAGAGAAGTTATGATTGAAGCTGAATATGAGCAGTAATCAGCTTAATTCCAGCTTAGTGAAGTTATGGTACAGTTAATTGGTCAACCTGAACTGCAGCTGCCAATTTATGCGACTGACCCCATCCCCAAAAGAAGTAAACGAATGAATAAACAAACAAATACACAATAGTAGTGTTAACAAAACATGGTTAACAAGAAAACAGCATCATTCTAGTCAGACACTCGCCACAAAACTCACCTATCATATTCATCAGCTCTTGTATATGCTTGGATAACCCAATTATATGAATCTGCATCTGGTTTCATATAGTCTGCCAACCAAAAGTCTACAATCAATAAACCACTAGATGATGTCAAAAGTAAATAAAGCCAGATAAGTTGTACAGCAGATTGACCTCTCTAATCTCATTGGCGTCTAGTAAACAGTACCACTATCTCAAAACAAAAAATAAGGGTGAAACAAGATTCAAAGAAACTGGTCAAACTGTGGTAGATGCTAATGAGCCTACAGATTAGCCTAAATAGTGGTAGATGGTCATTTGCACAAGAACAAAGCAAAAGAAGAAACGAATAGATGTACTGCCAATATGCAACGACAAGGACAAACAATTTCCTGGCATTAGAAGTCGACAAGAGTTTGTTAGTGTCAACCCTTGAAGATTGAATTGGTCAACTTGGAAAATGTTATCGAACAAGGTTGACATTTAGGTATATATACACTCGGCGGGGGGGGGGGGGGGGGGGGGGGGTGCGCGAGGGGAATGTTGAATTTCAGAGGCCAACAATTAGCAGTGATTATTACCAGGAACTTGGTGATTGATAAGACAAGTCTTAGATATTTGTTCATAAATCATTACCTTGAAAATCAAAATCGTAACAATATCACCCATTACATAATGGTGGTAATGGGCCGTCACGGCTTTAACCAACAGAATACCCCAAAATCAGTAATTTTCAAACATGTCTCAACAAAATCAAGAGCAAATGACCACTATTTCACCTAGAAATCTACTTTTTTTACTGGGAATTAAAGCATCTTCTCAAATAATAAAGCAGTGTCTTCATTAAAAACCATGGGCTCTACACAAGCCTCCCCTCTGGAGTGTCACACATACCAAATATAAATTTAAATGAAATTGCAAAACGAGGTGAGTTTTGAGGGAGGGAGCGACAAATAGAGGAGAATCAATGAGCAGGGTTGGTGGATTGGAAATTGGCATGCAGGAGTTTAGAATTTTCAATTTTCTTCCTTGGAGAGATTACACCACAATCAAATTACAATATCCTTGAACTTACCAAAGGAAAATCTACACAACTTAGCATAATACATTGACCATTTTTCTTATGTTACTGTAGAATTTTTAGAAAGAAAAAAACAATGTCTGCAGGTACCGCTATCGTTACGCTACAACTGTTACATCCCTAACCATGTCATCGCAGGTAGCGTTATGAAACCGATACCAATATTTCAAACCTTGCTCCATGGCCCAAACACATTTTTTTAATACCATTAAAATCCTTCGTTCTGATTGGGTGGAGATTTTTTTTTCCAATAAGTTGACATATTTCTTAGATGCTAGTGGCACGTAATGGAAAAGCTGAAAGAACACAAAGGCACATCCTTAATACCCCCACATCGCTTCTTATCTCTTCATCTGTTCCCGAAGTCATTAGTCATTTGGGTGAGCCTGATCTTACAACGATTTATTTCTTTAATCGTTTGTCCTCTCCTTTCCTTTCTTGGATCTCACCCTATAAAAAACTGTACAACCAAGCTCCAATTACTCTTAATATGAGTTTTTGATTGAACATGGTGTGTTGTGCTTCCTAGGCGAGAGAGTACTAAGCTTAGGGCACACTCTCCTCTATGTATTCTTTGTGGGTATGGCAATATTCAAAAGCAATATAGATCTTATAGTCCACTCACAAAAAAGTTGCATGTTGTTGTTTGGGGAAAAGTTAGTAGGGTGTTAATTAATCCTAACACAAATAGTCTTTATTCATATTAAAAGATAACTCATTACACGGCTTAGCTAAACAATGTGGGACAACGACCAAGACTAACAATATTCTCACACTCCCCCTCAAGCTGGAGAGTAGATATCAAAAAGTCTCAGCTTGTTACATAACAACTCTAACCATGGCTTGAACAATGATTTAGTAAACATGTCAGCCTACTAAACGTTGGTGGATACAAAAGGAGTAGCTATCACACCACTAGTTAACTTTTCCCACACAAGATGACAATCCACTTCAATATGTTTAGTTCTTTCGTGAAAAACTGGATTTGATGCAATGTGAATGCATCAATGTGAATTTCAGGTATTCCACAAAAGGGAAAATTGTAACCTTCTCCATATTCCATATTCTCAAAAGTGGTAAAAGCGATTTCAGGTATTCCACAAGTAGCCTACAAAACCAAGAAAAGAGATTAATTTGTTGTTACAAGTAATATTCCATATTCTCAAAAGTGGCAAAAGCGATTTCAGGTATTCCACAAGTAGCCTACAAAACCAAGAAAAGAGATAAATTTGTTGTTACAAGTAAAAAGGTGTAATTAAACAAAATGGTTGCAAATCAAGTAGTTGCTGAAATTCTCAAACATCGCTATCCGCACCATAAGCTCTGGTCCACTATAAGTAGGCCACAACAAAAACCACAAGATTAAGTCAGCCATTGCCAAAAGTTTAAACAATCTCATATGATACTAGAAAACTTTCTATAATGTGAGAAACAATATTACAAAGTGCTCATGTACCAGCAAAGTGATGTTATATTAATACCTTCATTCATGGTCATATTTGCTAGCAATTATTCAGGTGATGCGGGCCATGCGGCTTAGAAGCACAGACGCGTCTATTGGCCTCATGTATCCACGTTCGCACGACAAGACACGAGTCAAATATGCCAAAATACATTTCCAATTTTTTTTTATATTTTTTGTATATCGGACACGTTGGGAACACACAAGGGACATTATCAGGTTGGAGTGCAATGTAAAAAAGTTGGCTATGATAAAAATTGTCCTTGATGTTTGCTATCCTTATGGTGGTAATAGTATGTGGCTTCGTATCCTAATTTGATACTAATGGGATCTTGTAATATACTTTATAATCGTGTAATATAAATTCTCAATGGATCCCTATTGCATTTGTGTCGTAATAGTTTTAAAACCAACATACACGAGTGTTGTCGGGTCTGTTGAATAGCTTGATATACATTGTTGGGCCCATTTCCTAACAACTTAAGCTTGTGGGACTACTGATAAATTAACAGGGGCGGGTCACATATCTGCATTGGTGCTTCTTAGTAGAGCTATCCTCCTCTCCTTAAGGAAGTTTTCAGTTCTTGGTAAGCGTGAATTCGAGATTGTAGGGTTTCAGAGGCCTTACAGACTGTCCAAATGGTTGAGAGCGCTTGACAAGAAAGTATTGATAGGGGCCTGAATTTGCTAAACCAGAAGATGCCTTGTTAAGGCTTTCTTCCCTTGTGAACTTGTTTATTTCTTCGCTCCTTGTTTTTCTCAAGGAGGCACTGACTATCATTTTATTTCGGACCTGGCAGTTCCTAATGCTTTACATTTTACTCTAATTGTAATGAACTAATTTTTGGCGGTGGTTCTTGTTGCTGCTATTGCCACTGGTACTACTGTACTACAGTTGTCGTTGCACACTGTATTACTATTATATGTTATGTAAGTAGCTTATACTGTCTCGTTTTTCTGGAATGAATAGTTTGCTTGAATACTCAATATCAATACATATTGGAGAAAAATGTATGTTTTCGTAATGCCACATCCTAAATGACTTCCGATAGCTCCATGCATACGTTTGGATTAACTAACCATGGTTAAAGTTTGTCATTCCCGATGACTGAATCTCTCTCTCTCTCTCTCTCTCTCTCTCTCTCTCTCTCTCTCTCTCTCTCTCTCTCTCTCTCTCTCTCTCTCTCTCTCCCTCCCTCTCCCTCTCCCTCTCCCTCTCCCTCTCCCTCTCCCTCTCCCTCTCTCTCTCTCTCTCTCCCTCCCTCCCTCCCTCCCTCCCTCCCTCTCAAATATCAAGCTAAATCATGTATTATGTATAGAGTAAATAAGGGTGCGGAAAACAGAAATAAGGTTGCGGAAAACAAGATAGATCTCTCTCTCTCCCTCACACAAATGGCATGCTAAATTATGTATATCAATGGAGAAAAAAGGGTGCGGAAAACAAGGCAGGAATTTTCAACGACACTGTAGACCAATTAAAGTGATGCAGCCCAATTTGGTAGCGCATTTGTTTCAGGCACAAAATGTCGCGGGTTCAAATCCTGTCATCCCTACCTATTACTTCAGAATGGAACTGAAGGTTCCATTGTTCCAGTTTATGCCCAAAACGAGATGTACCGGCCAGTATGGCCTGGTATGATACGGTATTAACAGCCCCATCTCTGTGACTTTTCGGCCATGGAACACTGATTAGGAAGCATGAAACCATTCAGTGTAAGTCGTCCACAGAAAGGGAAGGATCAGAAGCAGTTGTCCAAATGAAGAAAAGATGCCTCTGTCAAGACACTTAACTTCCAAATAGTCTTTTCAAGGACAAGAATTCCATTGCTCAGGAATGAGAAATGGAGATAAGCATTTCATTTAAATCTCACACATACATCCTCCATCATATTGCTTCATCAATATCCTCATAAATCTATGGTCAATAAAGAAGCTTAAGATACTCATTGACAACCCAAACTCCAAACCCTGAATAGCCCGAATAAACACTGTTTTCCCAAAACCATTTTCCATTTGGCTATCCTCACTAAACTAACGTAAAACATTTTTCATATTATAATATATCAGGCAAGTCCAGAAAAGCCTCCAAAAAGGGAATGACCATCCCACGTGAATCACATTCCAGAGCCCAAGCCATCAAAAAAACCTTACTTTTCCAGTTTTCCTTACAGACCCAACCTCCCACCCTTTCATATATCCATTGCCATCCAACATCACTTGATTAAATTCCCTAAGGTGCTGAATAATGAAACTGCCTCCTCCAGAATATCTAGCTTATTATATGGTGGGCAGCATGCCTCACATACCTCAGTTTCACCTGTTTCGTCGTGCCAGCAGATCACCATTTTCTGCTATAGCACCAGTATAGTCCATGGTTGTCAAGGGCGAAAGGCGCACCGAGACGTAAAGTCTTGTTGGGCCGGAGGCCAAAGGGGCAAGGCGAGGCACACGCCTTTTTGAAGCGAGGCGCACCTATGCGGAAAAAATAGGGAAAATAACATACACTAATATTTCAAATAATAAGCACTAAACCAATGAGAGAGACAACTGAGAGGAGAGACCATCGACTAAGAGAGACAAATGAGATGAGAGGAGAGGAGAGACAACTGAAGCAGGAGACGATAGATTGACACAGGAGACGAGATCAATGAGTTCTGTTGGAATTTGTCCCACATCGGTTTATTATCTCCTCTAAAACTAGTATATGAGCCTGGGCGGCCTCTCCACTCTTTACCAATTGGTTTGGAGTTGGATGCTTTAACATGGTATCAAAGCTAGAGTTTCAGAGGCTTTTCCCCTTTGTTTGTGCCATAGTTGCACTTTCTTTCGTTGTGATCCATGTGTTTCGGATCCTTTGTTTACCTCTCCACGTGCGAGTCGGGGGTCGCACGTGCGGGGGAGTGTTGGGATTTGTCCCACATCGGTTAATTATCTCCTCTAAAACTAGTATATGAGCCTGGGCAGCCTCTCCACTCTTTGCCAATTGGTTTGGTGTTGGATGCTTTAACAAGTTCAATCAGTAGCCGGGCTTCATCATCTTCTCGGTCACTGAGTTCTCTAAAGTCGGCTGAGAGAGATCAATGAGAGAAATATTGTAGACCAGGATACAATCGATGGACCCTTTTGTTTTGTTTGAGATCTGACGGCCAAGGTAATAATTTTAAACTACACAACAAAATCCTAGGGCTGAGATCGATTTTGAAAGAAGCGTGCCTTTTTGCCCCTCGTCGCCTTTTCGCGCCTAGTCTACCCTGTTAAAGTCGCCTTGCTTGGGTACATGCAAGGCGCTAGGGTTGCGTCTCGCCCAGGCATTGCCTTTGACAACTAGGGTATAGTGATTGCAAATAATGTTAAAGACTCCACTTGATTAACTTAGTTAACCCATAATGTTTCCCACCAATAACATTTGCTAATAGAAGCAGCAACTTGAAAGTGAGTTTATAAACTCAATTACATAAACCAGGTAATCAACAAAAGAACGAAGGACAAGAAATGAATTCTAAGGCACATAGACAACTAATGCAAGGGGAACCTCAGAAAAAGAAATCTGAGAAATAAAAAGAACTGCAACTGATTTACCTGAACACTTAAAAGACAATTAAAATGAAATGTTGTTGCCATCCGCCCAGCTGCTTCCATTTCATAAGCTATGGTCAAAGCATTTTCGTGATCCCCAACTTTACAGTCCTCCTCAATCAGAAGATCATACATTTCATCAGTGGCTCTCAGTCCACCCTCAGCACCCTTCAGAAACACTTTATTGGCATCTTCCAGATGATTGCTCCTAACAAGTTCCTCTGGATACATTAAGAGATATCAACTTATGTCATATTATAGAAGTGCAAGAGATATAAATGATAGGCATTCAAAATGTTCTTGGAACACCATACCAACAAGCACCAACCAAGCTTGGCGGATGTCAAAGCGCAGCTTTTCCATTGCTGCAAGAATTTCCATGCCTCTAATAGCACGACCTTTAGAACCGAACAAACGAATCAAAGCGATAAATGTTTCATGGAGAGGACGAAGGCCTTCACTCAACTCCCTCCTCAATGCATGCATCTGCATTTAGGTAGCAATGCACAAAAGACTATATACCAAGATACACCCATACAATACAGCACAAAAATAGTTGAATTTGATAACTAAACTACTAGCTCGAATGTGAAAGCGATATTGGTTAACTTAAAATCTACAAGGGTACTATTTTTGGTTTACATTTGAAAATCAAAAGCCTCATAACTAACTTTTAGCTCTAGAAATGTCAGATGTGTGCATGACTTCATTTTTTAAACCTGTAAATTCATTCAGTTTTTCTTTTAGGCTTCAACTAGTTGCAATTGAAGTTTGTCAATCCATCTCCAGCTCTGTATTGTCAAACAGCACTGATCCATCCCTGTAGTTAATCACAATTCCACATGACACTCACGCCAGTTACCGTAGAGACCCAGAGAGGGAGAGAGAAACACTCAACCTAAAACATTCAGATTGCTAACTAAAGAACTTAGAAGAGCGTTAAAATTATGAAGTAAACACCAATTAAGTTGGCAAGAGGATGTGGCACACACACCTATATATATATATGCTCTAGAAACGTAAGATGTGTGCTGATATCATTATTCAGGTTTGGTTTGATGTTTAAATATGCTCTAACTTGGCTTGTTTATGAGAAAGGAGCTTTAATCGACCCGAACACGAACCAATTTTGGGTAGCTTTATCATTTTAACCATCACAAGCCGAGCAGTAGTTTGTTCGAGGCCAGTCAGAAACCTTAACGAGCTTCAAGAAGAAGTTCAAGCTTAGTTTATGTACTAGAGGATAGGCACACGCATCTGTGTGCACATTTTTAGGATGGTGGAGATAGTGGAGTGGCGGTTATGGAGGTGGTTTTAAATTGATTACTATTTTGCTCATTGCAATTAGTTAATGGCAAGTTAAAAATAATCATAATTGATTTTTAGATCCGCAACTATGGAAATCACTTTTTTGACGGGGCTTGAAAATGGGAGACACCAAACTGAAAATGGGAGCATTGAAAATGGGAGACACCAAACTGATGCTCTCCCTTTATATATTAGAAGATAGATAGATAGATAGATAAATAGATGGAACAAACCGAACTTGAGCTCGAACTAGAGCAGTTTGGTTCGTTTATCGAGCTGAGCTAAGCCGAGCTGAGCCAAGCTTTGTAGGGTTCGAGCTTGGCTTGTAAAGTAAACGAGCCTACAACTCGAAACTGGCTAATTTACTAAATGAGCCTCTTTAATGAGCTGGGCCTATTAATCGAGCTGAGCATTTGCGAGCCAAGCTGATCTTTTGAATGTTGAGCTCGGCTCGTTGAGTTACCGAGCCAAGCCATGAGCTGCTTGCAAGCACTAAAATTATCGGCACTACTTAGGAGGAATGGTGGGGGAACGGAAAACTCACGGCACCGTCGTCGTCGCCGACGAGGACATTGGAGACGACCAAGCCGTGGAAGGAGCGCGGGCCGGGGGTGAGTCCGGCGGCGGTCATGTCGTAAATGACCTGGGAAACCCCGTCGACGTCGCGGTTGCGAGCGCGCTCCATCAGCTCTTCCATGAAGACCAGCCTCAGCCCTTTCTCGGCGCTCGACACAGCCGCCATCATCGCGGCGGCCGCGTCGCCGTCGTCGTCTTTGCCGGGCTTCTGTCTCCTCCTGCTCCTGCTCCTGCTGCTGCTGGTCCTCCTAACCGGCGACGACACCGCCGCCAATGCGAACAACGCCGCCGCATTTCGTGGGCTCGGAAGTAATGGGAAGGTTGTGGAGGAAAGAGGAGGAGAGAGGTAGGGTAATTGTAAGGGGGAATGTGAAGAGGTTGTTAAGAAGTTTGACATTTTTTTCAGTTTGGAGTAACAGAAGGAGGAGCTAGAGTGGATAAACAAAGTAGAATTTGGCTCTTTATACAGAGGGGGCAGTCCCCTTTCCAAAAAAGATTAAAAATTAAAAATCAATTTTTTTTTTCAACCCACTATTTTCGCCATGAGAAAATCTTATTTTTGAAGCTTTCATAAATACTAAGATTTATAGACTTCAATCTCGCACGTCCAAAAGGATTTTGGACGGTCTGGATTAAAAACAAACTATTACCGTTATAAGATATTCATTACTGATAATAGTTTAAAAGTATATCTCAACTATCGATTGCTGAAACGGACGGATGTGATTGCGTGGTTCTCGGAGCCTCCATGAATAAGTCAATCTTTTTCTCCATACAATCCATTAAAATTTAATGACACCCATTAAAATTTAATGACACAAAGACCAAAATATCCTAATGCGTAATGACTAAATCGCCCTTACAATATTGTAGACACAACCCACGCACTTAAAACTTTCAAAAAAAATTCTCCCCACTACTCCTGCATATACAACCCATCATCTTCCCCCCTTCTCCCCTAACGTATTAGCTTCAAAATTTTGGCCCTTCTTCCTCTCACTCTCCATCATCTCTTATAAGCTTCATAATTCCTCCCCTATTCATCTCAATCTCAATAGAAAAGGCGAGGATTGAATCTTGTATCAATGGAAGG